GTGTTGGGAATATTATTGCACTTTCATCATTGTGATCTTACATTTGATTCCCATCGTTGGAATGATTTATAATGATGCCTTTGTGATTCGATATTTGAACGATTCAAACGAATTTCTATATGATGGAGCAATTGAAGCTGTAAACTTCCATGTGCAAAAAGATCAGCAATTTTTTTTTTCTTTTCTTTTCTTTTTTTTTCTTTTCTTTTCTTTCCTTTCCTTTTCTTTTCTTTTCTTTTCTTTTCTTATTTTTGTAATTAAATATTTTACGTATTGCAAATTTCAATAATTGGAAAAATCCTTTTCAAATTTCTTCAAAGAATTTGCAATTTCTTTTTCGCTTTTCCTTTTTTTACATTTATTCGATTTTTAATTTAAATCCTATTGCGCTTTATTCGACTGGAATTCATTTCTCAAGCGAAGACTAGAATTGACGATGAATTTCCACCGTTCGATAAAATTCATTTCCAGAATGCTATTTTGAATTGAATCGGTATCAGTCGTCAAAAATTTAAATGCATTCATTTCGGTTCATAATGAGAGTAATGACATGACAATGACAAATACAAGTTATGCACGATGCATAAGAACTCGTAATTACGAGCATGAAATTATGTTTCAGAACTTGTTTCATCCCTCTTCCGCGTCTTTAATGTTTTATGAGTTTGCCTCGTGTAATCGCCGAGCTGATTCGAGTTACGATTAAAAACGTAAGTTAAATTAGATGTTCTATATGTCTGTACAATAAATATACCATGTAAATAAAGTAAAATACCCTATTATAAATTATAACTATCGTAAATGCTTGTCTTAAGAGATTGAAAAGAAATTAAACTTCTTTTACACCAATTTCCTCTTCCTTTATATTTATGAGCATGTAATATTTATTCTCTTCCATGTTTAAAACACGAATAATTTGAATTTTTGCAATTATTCTCTGTTAAATTCCGTTACAATTTTAATAATTAATTCGTTTAAATGAAAAATGAAAAGAGAATTCGTATAAAAAAGATATAAATCAAAAGAATGTAATTGTATCGATAAAAAAGAACTTCCAATAAATTTTCATTATTGGGTGATTCAAACGTTTACCATCAAGTAATTAATAATTTTGTTTATTATTAATTGTCTTCGCTTTCATAGTATCTAAAAGCAAACGATTATTAATGCATTAATGATTGAACTAGATATCTTTTTAATTTTCCCTTTATTTTTATAAATGTGAATAATTCTTTTAAAAATTAAAAGATATTCTTTTTTAAAAATCAATGTGAGAAACTAACTAACTAATTAAATAATTTAACTATTTAACTAATTAAACTGATAACTGTTCTTTTCTAAAAATTAACACAATATTTTCCAAATATTGAAAATAATTTCTCGACTTTTATTATTTATTAATCAAACTGTTTATTCGCATAGAAAATACATGCACCAATGCAAACACCAATACGAACGTGATATCAGAACTTCTATAATTACACGAAAATTTGCAAACGCCTACATATTCATTCGAGTATATATACGTAAATACGCTGCATCTGTTCCATCAAGCTAGCAATGCTAATACCAAATATCACGAATGCAGGTTGTAATCAGAACCTACTCAAAGAAGTTGAAGCTGAAGATCTCAATCAAAGAACCTATATCTAAATAAAATGTAATATATATTGAAATATGTTGGAATGATGTATGAATATTTAATATTTATTTCTGCAAAAATATAAATTAACATAGTAATAAAAATTGACCTATAAAAATATATATAAATATCAATATTAATTACATTCATGATAATAATAATACATATTTTTTTGTTTTATCATTTAATTATCAACACGATCGTCAATTTTTGAAACAAAAAGAATGTAAAAAAATGAATAATGAAGAAAAATATTTTTTCTTCATTAATTGATCGTGTCTTTAATTAAATCATTGCGTCAACAAATAGATGAAATTAATTTTGTATTATTTCTTTTCTATGCCACATGATTTCGATTATTTTGTGAAATTCTGTTCGCTACATTATGACGACAAAACAACTTTATTTTTTTGTTTTTTTATGTCGCCTATACTGTCCAGTTTTCGTCAATATCAACTGCACGTGACACACGTCAATTAAATAAACACATTGTTCATTCATTGGTGACGAAAAAACTTGGAAAACACTGTCAGAATTGGCGTGTAAAGAAATTGCATAATTGATAATATATAATAATGTATAAAATATTCAAAATAAAATATTATATACACGCTATATTATTTAGCAATTGAAATAAACCTCTATTTTTTTTTTTTTTTGCTTCTATTTATTTAATTAATAAAAATATGAATTTACTTAAACATTCGCAATATAGCGAAAATATAATATAATATAATTCTCTTTCACGTCATTCGAAACGTTTAATCATATTCCTTCGAACCGTTTATACCCTAATATTTCGTCCTTATGTCAGAATGACTGCGACAAAAGATTAAAATCGGTGACAAGTTATAGTTGTCGAGAGGGAAATAATTTGCGAATCATATTGCAAGAGATCGTAATTTTGTCACGTTATATACTTGAAAAATGAAATATTCTCGAGAAAAAATGAGAAATTTCTGTTCCTTTTCTAACCATTCAACCATTTAAAAGTGAAATAACAAGCATATAAAAAATATTTTTAAAAACGAGATGAAAAACAATTATTCTTTTATTAATAAGATCTTTCTAATATTAAAGAAAAAATAAAAATAAACATTTATAGCAATAGCTTTAATCTTTGAGATTCCTATTTTTAGAAATTCGTAAAAAAAATATAAAAAAAAAATAATAATTCTTGAAAAAAGATTACATTTTAATTCAATATTCGGAACGATGATAATGAGAAAGGAAATCTATTAAACAAAAATTATTTTTTCTAATCGAAATAATTTCAGAAAGAGAAAAAAAGAAATAATTTTACATTTGACATTAAAGCTTGTACAATACGTGGAAAAATTTAGTAATCATATATATGAACCGTAAAGTTATTTTTTTTAATTTTTCGGAATTTTATTTTTTCTTTGTATATTGTATATCATTCCTTCAAATTATTTTAACCTATATAAATTCAACAAAATTTATATCATATAATTTAATATATGGCGAATTAATATCTCATTTTAAAGTAGTTTTATATATTAATTTATTATGTTAATAAAATTGTGCATACATGCAGCAATGTAAAGGATAACTCGATTTTAACACGTTAATGGAATAAAGTATCGAACTGTAAAGAAATGACATAAAAGCATTCTTTAAACTAATCAGATTAAATTTTCCATGCAACAGGTTTGTTTAACGTTTCGTTAGAAATCTATGTGTACAATATCCGTAGAATTTTAAAAATTTTCAAGCTACAATTTTTCATAATAAAAGAATAACGTGTTTCTTCCGAAGTTTCTATCTTTTCTTAACAAAAAAAAATTAATTTATAATTTTTAACATGTTAATTACGATTTCTTCATATTACTCATTCAAAATTCAAAAATTAGCGATAAAATATCACAAATGAATTGAAAATAAATCAAAAAACAAATTCACATAATAGCAATATGAAAGCTTGTAATCATTGAATTTTTTCATAGAATGAAAATATGTAAAAAAAAAAAAATAGTAATTCAAATGTTTTATATTCATTCTATACATATAAAGAAGAAACATTAAAATCGAAATACGAAATGCAAATTACTACGTATACATATTTGTTCCGACCTTCCATTAGACTTATTTATCCTTTACCTCTCTATCTCCTGAGAATTCAAGATAATAAAACAGAAAATACAACTTTTTCTTTTTTTAATATTACATAAAAATCAAATATATTATAAATTATTAGAAAAAATTATTAAAAAAATCATATATAATATTTCAACATTACAATGCTTAAGTATTCGCATTGTATGTTTATTATATCATTTATATGATTAATTAAGCCAAAATATTATATGAATAAATAATTATAAGAATTTTATACTAATAAAATAAAATATAGAAATGATAAGGAAATACTTCGTTGAAAAATAAAACTATCTATATAAATTATGTAGGCATTGAACATGTTATTCGCATCGAATTATATGAAATTCGATAACGACTTGAAAAATTCAATAACGACTTCAAAAAGCTTGTCACTAATCTTATTACGTTCCAATGATGCGTAAAAGTCTTTTAGAATTTTATAAAGACATCTAAAGTCTAAATTATATTTCATTACTATGTTGCAATTTCGAAATATTCGATCCACTGTACTATTAAAACAAAACAAAATATAAAAACATAAAAATAAAGTACGCAATAGATATTTAGAAGCTATCTACGTAGATAAATGATAATAGTCGAAATCATGCACGAAAGATACGAGAGTAAAGTTAATAAACACGAACAAGGTGAACAATTAAAATCGTTTCTGTATATCGAAATTTTCCCTTCGTGACTCACGATTAGGATCGTTTACACAGTGAACTCGATAAGCAGTATTGATTCGCGTGAAAATTTTCCTCAAACCACTATTTGTTATCGGAATATAGTCAATTTCGAGGATCAGGTTTTTATATTACGCAATGATATTTCCTCTGACAAGCGCACAATTGAACGAAATAACCAATCAATGTGGGAATTTCAAAATATGCAAAGCAATTCGAATGTTTATCATTCATTTATCATTCACGTTTCGTGTGCAATTATGCAAAAGAAAATTTGAAAGATAAGATCCTTGAATTTGAAAAACTTTCTGAGAAATTCGAAATATTGGGGAACGAAATTTGAACTTTAACAAAATCTTGAAAAGAAATTAAAATAAAAGTCAAATCATAAAATTATTAGCATGAAATTGATCTTGAATAAAAATAACCAATTCTTTTTTTCTCTAATTAATTTATAATTTGGAAAATTAAATAATAATTTAATTAACATGTGTATATTGTAAAATAAAAATAATAATAACTTAAATAATATAAAAATATAAAAGTGTACTTACAGCTGTGATTCGATGGAGAATCAATTCGCAGAATAACGCGAATCAAGATTGAATCCGTTTGTCAACGTACAGGAACGCGCATCGGAAACCTTTTATCAAAATTAAATCCTCGATCTTATCGAAAAACAAATCTCCATTCTATTCTAACACTCTATTCTATGATTCCACATCTCGATCCTAATTATTCTTGAGTCCATAACGTAACGGAAAGCGAAAAAAAAAAAAAACACAAAATCAAAATAGTAATCACGTCTTCTACGATCGATCGATCTTTCACAAACTTGTATCTTTTATCGACGATAAAAATCCTCTCTATCCGTTTCTAAATAAATCGGTATAACGATCATCCATAGATCGATTTCACGGTTTTCGCGATAAATCTCATCGATCGTATCGATCAAAGAGAGGACAGAATGCTCGAAAAGGGGAACGATGCGATACGGTGGTTGCTCGCGTCACGGCGCGCTGAGAACTGAATACCTTTCGACGGTGGTGGCTCGCGATAGGTCGGTCGAAGGAAAGCGAGTGGGGTTTGCGTGCGGAAAAACGTGAAGAATGCCTTGAAAGAGAAAGATAGAAATGAAGAAAAAGGGTGGTGTCTTTTTCTGGGTGATCCTGTAGGTCAAAGAAGGGGGATCAGACATTGGTTGATCCCCACGTTTACTCGACATTCAACCTTTATCATCGAAAGCTTATCCGTTACTGCTTATCACGCTGGGTCAATCAACATGAAACAAAGAACAAATGCAGATAATCTGGACTACGATGACGAATTTAGGATGAATAATGGTAGCATAAATTATGTTTTAAAGTGAAATAATTGTTTGAAATCGAAAAATTGTCGGATATTTTATGTTGAAAGTAAATAATAATAATGATATTTATAATGATAATGATAATTTTAGTTTTCAACTATATTTTTTTCATGATATATGATAAATGATATATAATAATAAATGAATTTTTTATTCGCGGATCTACTTTTTATTATTCTGAACTTTGAAAAAATGATGAAATTGGAAAGATTATAGAAATTTCTATAATATTATCTAATTTCATGATAGATAATCATTAAGTGAAATATTTAAAACTTTTTTCAATAAGAATAAAAACTCGTTTCGAAAATTTAACAATGAAATTTCTTCTTCTTTCTTACTAGTCCAGATTACCTACATAGTTAATTTTAATGTTTAATGTTTTGAGGTTAATGAATAATCTTTTTAGAAATTGAATCTGTATAATAATCGATTGAGATTTTAAAAATTTTTAATTGAATACAAAAATGAATAATGAAAATAATAATTGAAATTGAAATTGTGATAAAAAAAAATAATTAATTTTGTAAAAATTATCCAAATGATTTTTAATGAAAATGTATTCAAGACATAGCTATCTTTTCCTTTTTATACTCACCTTAATTTTATTGTTGATCCATAAAGATTCCCATGGCAGAATTTTATTTTTTCATTTGTTTTCGTTTTCTTCTGTAGCCTGTGCATATCACTACTGGAAAATTATTTGACTGAAAAAATAAAATAAAATATTTAGATTTATTTCATCAGACAAGTATAATAATTCTAGATAAGAAAGATACAATAAAAATAATGACAGTGATGATGAAAGAAGAATTTAGAGGAACGCTATGCAAATTTCATAAAAATGCTAATTAAATGAAACGTTTCAACGAAAATTTCAAACAAGTGAAATTTTGTAATCAAGATAAGTAAAATTTCATGGAAATGCTAATGAAATAACCTCGAATTTCGAATAAAATTTTAATATTTATATATATAAATCTTTAAACGATTGAAAATTCACGAATAGATTGAAAATAGATACATCTGCTATTGATAATTTGGTATTGGTATATATATGAAACTTTGATACTAACATTGAGATTTTATTAAGATTATCTCAATCTTGAGAAAATGATTTAAAGAAATTTTGAAGTATGATAAAATAATACAATTAAATATATATAATATAATATGAATTATAATATAATCTATATACAGTTATATATGTAATTATATATATAATCTTTTTATTGATTTATACATCATCGTTGATTTATATACTCGAAATCAAATTGTTTCGAACCTTTGTACCTTTTCTATTTATCCTGAATAGCTTGAGGAAAAAGAACATTTAGATATTATTATTTGATTTTTTATTTTATTTCATCATTTTTTATTTTATGTCATTTTTAACTATCTATTTTTAAAAAAAATTAACAAAAATTTAATTAACAAAATTTTAATAATGAAAAATGTTATAAATTATTCATCCATGAAAATTAAATCTATTAAATATTAATTTTGAAATTAAAAAAAAAAATTTGTAAATCAAAAATTATACAATAAAAGGATTCTGAGTTATCTACTGAGAATTAGAAGAATCTTATGTATTTATCTATTTCTCAATAGATGGTGTTCAATGCAATGAATTTGTTTGTACTTCACTTCTTAAGGATAATGAGTACAATAAGCATCATATATGCAAAGTAGTTATTGCATTTTGATGCTATTATTTTATAATAAAGTTCAAATCATAGGATATTAAAGGTAAATTTAAACATTTTTTATTTTATATATACATTGCAAATATTTTCACTTAATATCTATTATTAATTTACATTAAAATTTTAATAAAACGAAATCGATACAATTCTAACCAAACGTAAGCACGTGGCTTCAATGAAGCACATGGTTTCAATGATTATAAGTATATTAATATTATTAATATTATATATTAATATTATTAAAAAATTTTTTAAGAATAAAAAATTAAATCTACAATGACCATTAATATATCTATTGATTTTTTATTATGAATTGGTTCAATTAAATTTTTGATTCCTGACAAAAAAATCATTTAGAAAAAAAAAAAATTTTTAATAACAATAAATGTATTAACGAAAAGATAATAAGGAAAATAAATAATATTATATCTTAAGTTTTACGATTGATAAAATTTGTTGTGAATAATATATTTAAATTATTATTAACTAGATAAAATATGAAAAATAAAATATATAATAATCCTTTTATTTTTAAATCAATTTTTTGAAAAATAAATATATGAAAAAAGTAATAAATTTTACGAATAACTATTTTAAATATTAAAAACTTTTTAAATTTAAAATTAACTTAATTCTTTCTCTTATTTTAGTATCAAAGATGTCATGTCACTCTAAAAAATATATTAAATCATTGAAAGAAGATGATTTTTGCGATATTTGCGAACGTTGTTCAAAATGTGGAATAATAATACAAGCAAATCATACATGTAATACATGGAATGGTAATAATAATAGTTATAACTTAAAATCACGAAAAAAAGATAAAATAAGGAATAACTATTCTAAAAAAATTTCAATGTACAATCAAAGTACAACAATATACCAATCAATAAAATTTCAAAAAAATTTTTGCCAAAAAAAATCTGTCAGTACACAGACAGAAACAACAACTACATCAAATGCAACACAAACAAATGATGATTTTAATAATTATATTAATCTGAATGACAAGGAAATTTACAGAAAACTTATTAAAAATTTAGTTGAAAAAATGACACAAAATAAAATATTACTTACTAAATTACATATGCTTTGTGCTAATTTGCAAATAAAATAAGATTTTTCATAGTTATTTTTAATTAATGACACGTTTATTATTATTATTTAGTTATATTTTAATTTTTGACGTTCATGAAGTAAATCAAAATAAAACGTTAATTAAAAAACATGATATCTTTATTTTTTTATTTCGTGTAAATCAAATTTTTGCTCTTTCGTTTTATCTATGAGATGATTTTTGTTGTTCTATAATTATATTTTCATTTTTTACATAAATATAACATGAATTATCAACTAAAAATAAATTTATAATTTTTTTTATGTTTATATAACTTGATTTTATAATTATGTAATAACTATTAATGCGAAAGATTAATAAAAATTTATAATCAATATTAAATTGTCAAATCGTTATTATCTGATCTATTAATGTATACGAATATTCATAAATTATTGTTAATTACTATATTTATCAATATAAAAAAATATACAACTTATCATTTGTAGATAACACTTAATAATTGACTGCTTTCCTTTTTTTCATTATAACGACTTGCAAAAATTATTTTAACGATCCGCGAAATTATTTATATCGTATAATAAAACATACGAAATTCTCAAATAAAAACACATACTATAAATATTCACAAATAAACAATATCTCACACATTCTAAACACTTGCGAATAAAAAACGAATGCTATAAACAATTACGATTAAATATATTTTAATTCGTGAACAAACATACTTTAAATATTCAAAAACATATGTATTTATTATAAATAATAAATAAAATAAGTTTCTTATACAAAATACATACACAATTTAAATTATATACGAGAAAACAAGCGCGACACGTCTGTACGATACGGAGCGCTACACTGTTATGAATCGTGGCGTTCCCCCACCCAGCGAGCAAAGTCGCGCGCACCGATATCGATAGCGACCCAAGTAGATTTCAGATATTTTATTAATATAAAATAATTTAAATATTATAATTTTCAATTGTATATTTAAATATATTCAAAAAAATACTTTGAATTATATTTTTTATTTCATTATATGTTAATCGAAAAAAAGTTGTATCATATAAGTTATTTTATCGAATCGAGAATTCTATTTTATGAACAACTAAATATGTAGAAAATTATAATAAAACTATTTCAATATAAAATTATACGAAAGTATATTAATATATTTTCTCATACTATTTTATTAATTTTTTCTTTATTTTTAAAATACGAAACATTGATATGATAATTATAAAAATATATTTATAATGTATTAAATGTTCTTATGTTCTTATGTTCTTATTTATTGATATTAAATGCAATATTTTCTTGTTTTAATATTAAATAAATTTAAATTTTGTTTTAATAATAGAATAAAATGAAAGTATATGTAGAAGAAAAAACAAAAAATATATAAGGCATAACAATACATAAAGAAAAATCAGTTATCGAGAGATTTTTATTTATTTTATATCTTGAAATCGACTATTGTTAAGAATAAAAAATTTTGCAACATTTAAAAAAATCTTGATAAAACATTTTCTAGTTTTAAAGATATTTTTCGATATTTTATCATAATATTTATTTCTCTTGATATAATTAAAATGTTATATCTTGAAACTTGTTAAATTTTTCATCTTTTTAACTTTTTATATATCAAAGCATTTCTTTTTAGGTTTTAGATTAGATAAAAAAAAGAAAGAAAAATCAATAAAAACATTACTCTTCTCTGATTTTAATGATAATTTTTTTACTTTTCATTTATATAGAATATTATTTATCCAACTTCTCCTTGAAGAAATTTCTCTCCATTTTATTTCTGCATTTTTATTATTGAATTTTTTAATTAAAAACATCAACATTTGTTACGTTTACTCTGTTAACACAATATTTAAACGAAGTTACTTTCTGTTGTACAGTTTTATTATTGAACGCTTTGAACTAAATCTACATGACTCGTTAAAATTAATACGACATTCGGGATCAGAGTTCTTCAATTTCAATATGCATGTTGAATGAAGCATTTTTTGCGACTTCTATCAGATATTTCTCTCTCGATTTAACCGTGTATCGTAAAACGAATGGAAATCAAATTGAAGAATATCGTGGTTTTTGTTCACCAAACATCAACATTTCAATATATTTTTTTAATTTTATAAAAATGAATAATGGACATGTCAATCAAGAAAAGTTGAAACAAAAAATCCTGTGGTATCGCATAAAAGAAACATTGCATTTGAAATTACAAAAAAGAAGAAATAATCCTCAAAATATATATAAAAGGAATTTTTCAATTTTTCATTGTTTTTAAAATTTTTAATTTCTATAATATTAGCGCATGCATATATTATAGTATAATAAATAAAAATAATAGATACTATATGTAAACTATATGCTATCAAACTATAATGCTGCATGCGACATTAAATAAATAAAAAAAATGAAAAACTAAAAGAAAATAATTTATGAAATTAAAAATAAATAATGAAATACAATATTAAATTACCATAAGATGTTGTAATTTATTAAAATATATCAAAGAAATATCGATAGATCTGTTATCAGTAGAAAAAGAAACGTGTATACAGTAAGGAAGAGAGCATAACTCGTCTTTTGATGGATCGGCTGTTGCGATTGGCGATCAAGTCGATGAAGAGAGAAAAAGGCCGTCAAGGCTAAGTTTGGAGGGGTTGGTGGGGAAAGATGGAAAGAGAGGGGTTGCACTTTGAAACGTACGTCTGTCTCCAGGGGGTTACAGGTGGTTGCTCCTGGAAGAAAGAGACGAGAGAAAGGAACACATCGAAAGTATTGTGGTTGAATGAAAACGGTGAAGAAAAAATAAGGGTTCAAGAAAAATCGTGCATGAAGTACGCGCAATTTGATTACCGACTGAGCTTTGTTCCATCGTCGAATAATGAAACTTGATGAAAATTCTCTTTATCGTTTATATTTCGAACAAAACTCGATATCTTTGTTCACGAGACGAATTCGCTTCTACAAAACGAGAAGGAAATTGAGAACGTGTAACGTGCAATAGACATCGAGTAGCGTGAATACGAGCTATCACTTGAACCCGTTAATTGTGATACAATTCTCGAACAATCATCAGCCGATACTCGTGTCAAACGTCCGTTAAACAACATTATAGAGCATCTCCTCGAAATCAATTTGACATCTTATCAACGAGACGCGAAGGATGAATATTGTATCGGATAAGAATTATCGATCGAATTACCAAATACAATTAATAATCATCGACAACATGGATGAGAATTAAGAGAAATTACAATGTTTCCTTCCCGATAATAAAAAGAGCGAAGGATCGGCGAGCGATCTCTGTAAAAAATTAATCAACGAGCGAGTAAACGCGCGATAACAGAGAATGGAATAAGAAAAAAAAGAAGGGAAAAAAAAGGGAGAGAAAAGAAAGGAAAAATATTTCTTGAAATGAAGATACCGCGAATTTACGGGGAGAGTCGGGGCGCGCTCGAATGAAATTAAAACCTGCGGGGTAACCGGGCGACGAATCTAAACCGTGCCAGCATCAAGATCCCGAGGATGCAAGAACTTAACCGCGCGCGCCACCCCGTAGATAAGAGCAGCGTTCGATGATGGTGGGATGTAGAGATGGTAGAGGGGTGAGGTGAGCTTTTGCAAGCTCGTGGCGCCACTTGCGTGGCCTCCCCAGCGGTTGAAAGGGGTGAGAGGTTTGGGGGTTGGTTGCAAGCCTCGATTCTAGGCTTCAGTCAGTCGTGCGAGGAGCGAGACTCGCTAGGGTCGAAGGCTCGTTGCGACCGTGGTGGTCACCCTTCTCGGCGGACTGTTCCCTCGGGACAGGCTCCACCTGTTTATCGTTCCGTCGTGTAAACCAGCAAAAGAAAAAAAAGCGCACCGTGTGAAACAAAAGGTGGGAGAAATGTTGGCGGCGTTGATCAGAAGGGAGAATCGTGGGCCGATCGAACGATACACGAGATAATCGTGGTGAAAGAGGTGGATGAGTGCCGGCAGCCTAACCAGTGATTTCGGCGTGATTACCAGCTTAATTGATCAGGTGCGGTATATATCGAGCACTTAACCGTGATATTCGGCTATGCTACACGTTATGCGTACATTATTCTAACTAAGCACGAATCCTTTTCCGTTTCTCTCTTTTTCTCTCTCTTTCTCTTTCTCTGTCATTCTATCTATCACGTTGTCCTCCCTCGCTTTCTCCTTTTGTATCGATGGCCTCTTTTCACTGTGTCTTTCTCTGTAACAATTTTTTCTCCGTCATCTCTCCGCATCTTCGTCCCTCTCTTCGTTTTATGCCTCTTATCCTCTACTCTTCTTCTTTCCCAGATATCTTGCCTCTCTTTTTCACCTCTCCCTTTTCTGACCTTCCCTGTCTTCCGGCCTCTCGGCTGATTAACCGTGAAATGGGGTGATTACGAACGCGACGACACGCGCACATACGTAAATGCGCATACATTGTAACGACAGCGGATGGAAAAGGGGATGCAACGTGACCTCGTGGCGAATATTCTTCTTTTCGTGCGCGAGTCGGTCGGTAAGAGTACCAGATGAGGGTTGCCAGGCCGCTTTTTTTTTTCTCGCCAACAGGACGACACTTTGGAAACGTCTCTGTTCGAGTTACCACTTCTATCGAGTGATTTCTGTTCTCCTTTCTTTTTAAACCGTATGAATATTCTACGAGCAATTTGTTGATTACTCTTTCGGTGTAATTCTTTTTTCAATTGAAATTAATTGAATTCGTTAATTGTGAATTATCGAAAAATCGTACTTTTTCAACGTACGATTTCTGTGTACATATCTATTCAAATATTTGATAAAATCTGTGAAAATTCAAATATTTCTTTCTTTTTTTTTTTTTTTTCTAAGGTAAATATGTACAAATGCATGTTTATGACGAGCATTGTACGAGAAAATCGAAAGTTTGTGTGAATGTACGGAAAAACCCTGCGAAAAAATTATTCTCTATCATGCAAGAATTGAATATAACTGTTTCCTAGAAGCACAAAGGCCATTGTGTAACAGTTTCTAAAAGTGAAGTTCAAGGTAAACATTAATAAGGTTAATGTATGTATTCACTCGGTACTTCAAGATAACGATACTCTTTGAAACGAAAGATTTTTTTTATTCTTGAGTGTTTTCTCTATTTATAAATTTGGATAAAAGAATTCTTTAAAAAATCATCATCGTAATAAAAAATAATATTTAAGGATATACATCTATTCAAAATATATTTTAAAGATTAATAAGAAATTTTATAAAAAGAATTGAAGAGAAGAAATGAGAAGATAAGTGATAAATAAAAATATTCAGAAATTTTGATGGAAATAACAATCGATGATTAACTTTACTTTTTTTAACGTCTAATAAAAATTTCTTGGACAAACTGATTGATCGAATGAAATTAAATGGATGAATCTTTTCTTTATTCGGTAGGACGCGTTTCTAATCAACTTCTTTTCAAGATTTCTTCCATTTCGTAGTTTCATTTCCACCTTGGCACCGTTCAAATTCTCTTCTATCTCGATCAATGAACTTGGTAACTGAGAGCCGAAAGGTAAGCACACGTCTTGCGGAATAGCAGAGTTTATGGCCTAGTCAGACCGAATAGGATCGATATTTAGGGAAAAAAGTAGCGTACGCGTGAATTCCTGGATTTAAAGCTGGCACAAGTGGAAGTTGAGACTATACCGTGCTTTCTTTTTTTTTGTCTCTCCCTTTTTTTTTTTCTTTTTAATTCCAGCGGCAAAAAATATGCTTCATTTTCAAATTAAATTCTTCGAATACTCGTGATGAACGTTTCGATTAGATTGATTCGAATATTTTATCATACTTTCATCCATCAAAAAAACGTGCTCGAGTATGTGAAAGAGTTAATATTAGTTTCCAACATTTCCTCTCGTCGAAAAGTCGAAAGTTTTAAAAAAAACGTATCTCGTAACGCAATCAAACGCCAAGTAAATACATTTACAGATCTCGTTTCCGTTTACGTTAATATAGAAGCGAAATTTTTCAAATGATATGCTTAAAAAACATATACACGATTAAAAATTTCAATGTTAAAAATTTTATTATTGAACAAAAGGAAAAGGAATATAAAAATTCCAATTGATAATGAAAAAAAATTGCAATAACAATCGTAATAAAACAAATTTTTATATTCGACGTAATACAGAACTGACCTACTATTTAATATTATCCCGCTTTCTTTGCCAACGGCTATTACTCAAAGCGACACAATTGCAACTCAAGAAACATCGTACTTTTGTACCAAGCCAAGTGAATACATAATTTTAGAAACGAAATTTGCCTAATCCTTTATTAAATTACAGATAAAATAGATTGGATACGTTTCGATAGCGAACAGTATCTCGATATTTCCTGATCGACGATGAACTAACAAATATCAATCTGGACAGTTGGCGTGTATTATCAAATCAAATGTTATCACGAGTAATAACGTTTTACACGAATTAAAGATATAAAATGCAAAACAATGGCCAATGCACATACAAAAGCAAGAGTCGTGCGTATTTGCAGCGCATCCGATTAAATTTCAAACTCGATCGGGTGTGGCGTAAAACCAATTCGTGATTTGAAAACCATTTTTTTTTTTTTTTTTTTTTTTTTTCGCTTTTCTACATCCGTGTAAACTCGTCAGATGGATCGCCCGAACGTTTGAGCTCAAGGGTCGTATGAACTCGATATCTCGACAGCCTGAGTACGCCGCTGTCGTACCACGACATAAATGATTTTAAAAAGGAAGCAAGTCCTTCTCATCCCCGGGAGGACGGCATATGACGTCTCGCGCAGCTGGGTCACGTGCAAGAGCAATTCACAAAAGGCGAGAAATGCAAGGCCGTGCCTCGTTCGGAACTTGCGAAATATCGACGACAAACTACCGACCCTACGCACCACAGCTTCGTCGATGCGACTTTTTTTCATCCCTCGCCTCTTCCTACTTCTTCGATCAATCACACTCGATGTTTCTCGGCCATTTTCACGCTCGATACGCGTGCTGGACGGATACTTTGCGTATATGTAATTTCCGAAAAATCGAGTTTAAAGTGAAACCGTGAATTTAAATATTTAAAGGAGGTTACCATCGTGAATGGAATCACCCTTTGCGAAGATAGAAATGAAAAGATGTGATAAAAGTAAAGATAAATTAGACTTTTGGAAGCTGAGGCATAAATGATCGGGATTCGTGTAATTTTCGAATTTCTGATGAACCAACATTGATCGCGCCGCCACGCATTTCATCCCTCTACGCCAAATAAAGTTTCTTATTCATGAAACGACCGGAAGAAGGATGCTAGTAGGTAAGATTAATGCTGGAAAACGCAGGCAAATAGAACCAGAAAATATACGAAAGAGATAAAAGAGCATCGATACATTGAAAAAATATTCGTTACGCCCAAACGAAACGTTTACTAGTTTACCATCGTTTATTATTCCGCTCAAAATGCGTAGACATCTGAGTACGAGGAAATGAAACCCGTGAGAGTTTGGAGAGAGAACAGTAGATCTTTTTCTTGAACGTTCTTGCAAGCGTGCAAAAGGGAAAAGCGACCATTTCATTGATACAGAATGGTTGCTCGGCACACGCTTTTTCCCCCAAAGTAAAATCCCTGGTTGGGGGAGGATCGGCGCCCACGGAGGAAAAAAAAAAAAAAAGGGAAAAATATAAAAGGAGAGGAAATAAATAGCGAGGAAGATAGAGATACGAAAGTTCGATAGAGAAATATCAGCGACAATGGGCGAAAGGGAATAAAAGAAATCGCAAAAGTTGTGATTCCCACGAAAATGTATCTGCTGGCTGTGACGAATGTCGAGCTCGAGTGCAAAGCAGCGCAAACGATATTATCCATACACCCTTTGTTAAGCCAGCTGCGCCCATTTCGTACGTACGTACACGTACATAAGTTTGGTATATGTGAGTACAGCTGGCACAAGGTTGCACATCTAAAACGTGCTGCGCGTCATAAGCTCCCTCGATCTACTGCACTGCGTTTTAACTGTACACCCTTTCCTCCCTGCATATACATACACACACGTACACGAAGGATGCATATTTTTTCACGGACATTGGACGTATACGTGAGCATCAGGGTTAAGTAGCTCGAAGAATTTTTTATGATCAATTTACTCGTAACTCGATAGGTAATTCAAATATATCGGTTGACTTATCATCGATCGATGAAGTTGAGGAAAAGTTGAGATCGATGAAGTTGAAAGAAAAGTTGGGGATTCCCTCTCTCGATTCATGATCAACCTTTCGTTCGTGAACTTCTAACGCAAAAGAGAGGGAGGATTTATGAATGGAATGTTTTCTAGTTTTGCTTGCCGGAAGCAATTTGTATGCAAAATCGAAACGATGGTTTGCGTAAAGTTAAAGTTTTTTAAAGTGATGCTATGCTTAATAATAACAATTTATCGATAAATAAAGATTAAAAATTGATATATTATGAACAACTTATCTTCAAAAAAGGATAAGAAGATTTTATAAATATGTTTCTTTTTTCTTTAAAATGTCTAATAATTGAAATATCTGTGAATAACCTATGAATATTATTGGCATTACGTGGATCGTGAATAAAAAATCAAGACTTTGCCAGTTCATCGATATATTCAAACGAAACGAAAGTTTTAAAAGTTGGTGGCGAGAAATAGAATAAGATATCCGATTAAAAGAATCCAAAATATATTTGATACGCTTTCGTGCGCTTTTAAAAATGAGAATTTTAAAAAGCGCCTATGCGGAGAAATGAACTTTTTTTTTTTTTAGAAGCACTTTGAAACAGGTGTGCCGGGTGAAAAGTGGGTTATCAAATTCAATGTCACATACAAGCCCTAAAAGATTCGTAATTAGATGGAAGCGTGGAAGGCAGGGAAATGGAGGCCTACCGAATTACTCTTCCCACTACTGTTCAAAAGTGCTCGAGCAATGGTACAACGCGAGCTACGTCCTCGATAATTAAATTTCGATTCCGCGGGAATAATACAATAATATACTGCCGCGCCACTCCACCCTTTAATTTGTTTTCTCTCTGCACCTTTTAAAAAACGAACTTCTGGAAATAAATGCTTTCAACCGCAGCACGCCGAACTTTTAAAACAAAGAGGCAAGAAGTTTCGGGTGCTAATATTTTCACCTGGCTGCGGGCAAATTTTAATAACCAGCCACGCAAAATCCCTGCCATTATTGGTGGCCTGTTATAAACGTACGGGCAAGTAAAGTCATCGATATTTTGCGGGAAAAGGTAATTTCTGAAAAAACAAACTTAATCGAAGAGCTGCCTGTATATACTCCTTTTTATTTCTCTCTTTTCTCTCTCTCTCTTTCTCTCTCTCTCTCTCCTCTCTTTCCTCTTTTTGCGTGAATACAATCGACCAATCAATATAATCTACGCCAATGGATACGCATGGATAGAAAAATTCATATAAATTTACCCACCACTATTTACAACCCTATTGTTTGCACATCAATCGTATCTCCCGCATGAAAATCGTAGACTTTATCGATGATACGCACGTTATTGCACGATTTGTTTTATGACCTTTCGATAGCTCGATGAGGAAAGAGTAGCGGAAATAAAGGTTTGGAAATTTTTAGAAATGAATAGGGAAATGATAAAGGTTCGACATAGATCAAAATGACGTATGGAAATTGCAAATAACCAAGGTCATTAAAGGGCACGTTAAAATTTATTTATACACATATTTATACGTATACGGCACGTGTTTCAACATATATTTAAAGTTAAAAGTCAAAAATCATTCTTCCTCGTTATTTGTTACAACGCGGTACCGTTTTGAACGACATGTGTCACGATTGTTTTTGTGAATAAAAAAAAAAATCAATTTAAAATAATTTTGGCTTGTAAAAATTATTTTAAATAGGGGATACTTTTGACCTTCTCCAAATATATTTTTTTTTACAATATTTTCAGTAACTTTTACAATTTTTTTCCAATTTTAAACTCATGTAGAACAGAAAGTTAAATTTCGATATTTATAATATAAATTTTAGTTATCAATATGTTCTTTTTTTAAATTGTGTTTGATGATTTAATTAAGAAAACTGAAAGAATAAAATTTAAATATCATCATCCTAATACTTTATTGCACTCTATTTTTTACGCTTCGATTTATCGATTAAAAGGGGATAAATTTTATTATCGGTATACAAATATAATTTTTTTGTTAATCATGTTCGATAATAATTGACAGAAAAAATAATCGAGTCAACATTTTATTTCATTCTATTTTATTCAATATTTTACGCTATTTCACGTGAAACGCATCGAGTAAATGGCCACGTTTACCGGTTAAAAGGCGAAAGATTAAAAAAACGTTGGAAAGATTGTATCATCGTGAGGAAAGCTATTTCCACGAGCATGAATCGCTCGTTAAACGACGATACAGTGCATGTATCATAGCCGTGTATGCATTTCCTATGCATACATTGCACGCGTGACACATATACGGCCGGCGTTAATGGCCGTCGTCCATTCGTTTACGAAAGTAGAATCAGGAAACGTCCGATATCGTTGCTGAGCACGGGAGATCGAGTGTTTACTAATGCCAGATACACGGCCTCAATCACCTGCTAGTCCAGAAATGTCTACCGTCCAATGTAAATCCGTATTTTCCAGACTATAAGCGATATCGAGCCGGCTACCTTTTCTCATAAACTTGGCCTAGTGGCACGATTTAATTTAAATATCGTTGCACGGAACTCAAACGTTTTCAGGTAGAAAAAACAAATCATAAATAATAATATCTTAATCTAACATAACGAATATCTTTAATCTTGAACCATGACGTTGTTTCGTGAATACGTATCTAATGCATCTTTAATTGCGTTCTTCTACGTGTTTCATCAAGTATTCTATAATTGTTTGATGTATAAATTAGTATATAATTATAATAGATTTGATAAACGAAAGTTTTCATCGAGTAAATTTATCGAGTTTCTTTTCTCGCAATTTTTCTAAATAAGACTTTTTCAACTTTTTCCTTGCATCGATGAAGAATGTGTGCAATTTATCAAGCTGGCTGATACGCTAGAGAAAACGTAACTTGAGATATCAAATCTAGGAAGAAGACATTCTTTGGCGGCTTAACCGGTTAAACCAATCGTAAGAATATCAATCACCAACATTTCGATCCACCGACTCGTACTTTTTCCATCCCAATATTCATCACGCTTTACTTACTATTTACCTTACTCATTATTTATACTTTCATAATTCATCGAAAGAGATGAATTTTCATTCAAAAGAATGATGATGAAATTCTGATACATAAAAAAAAAATTGTATATCTAAAATAATTAAAGAAATCGTTAAACTGATCGAAGAATCGTAAATAACGTTGCTAAGTAAATCAAAGTCTCGTAAGTTGGACGTTCCACGTGTCTGCAACATTGGCACGACGAACATCGGCCCCTTGGTTACGAAGAAAATCGATCGAGATTCGGATAACTTTTATTGCGCTCCACTTTGTTTCCGGCCTGTCACAAGGGAAGAACGTAAATAACGGGGTTGCACGAAATTGGCGGAGGGTGGGCTTCACTTTCGTGAACTTTCATGAACTTAATGGTATACGAACATTGTTCATCCCGTTTCATACTCCCACCGGGTATTAACCCATTAACACCCCCGGCCTACATTAACTTCGGTTGCCAAGTATAATTGGCATTATATATCGTAGTCCGTTTCATCCGGCCGCTGCATCGGGCAAGCAGAAATTTAGTGCGCCAATTAACCACCAATTACCACGCTGATAATCTTACATTACTCCATAGGGATGAAGGGTGAAAATCACCACGGTTCATTTACCAATACACGTTTAATGACGTTGGTTGATCGATTTGAACGAAACGTTTCGTTCGATTCCCATTAAATTAAAAAAACTGATTCACGTTGATTTTTAAAAATCAACGAGGCGTCGATACGATATTTTAATAAATAGAAACGAAAATACGTAATAATATTTTTATATCGCATTAATTGAAATTAAACATTTCCGAAACGATTGCTTTATTAATAATTAAACATTTACGATATATATGAAATATTCGAATTGAAACAAGAAATATAATATGTCCAATGTTACACCTTCAACAAACAAGAAAAATTGATAAGAGAATCAGGTTTCGCCTAAATTGAATTCCAATTTTTCCAAATCAACTTTGGCAAATCTTATATTCAAATCGGAACTACCACGAGAATTTGTTAAACTCGATTTAGAGAGATCAAAAAATCAGATCGTTAAAAAAAAAAACTTTTAAAGAAACGCATACGTACGTATATAACATAGATTCTGAGAATAAAAGAATTCTTGATACTCTCGAATAACTACGATCGTGGAATAACAAAAATATTCTTCTTTAAACTTCTTCTACTTGCTCTCGAATTCATATGTACATACATACATACACACACACACACATATATATAAGTACATTGACGTACTTTAACATGTAATTCCCTCGAACGACGTTCAACCGGTCAGTGCAACATCTCTCGGATTCGAGCTTTTCACCCGTGAAATTAATCTTCCATGCAAGGGTCAGCGCAAAATGTCAGGACCTGAAACCAGAACGCGGCCCACGCTCTTTTCGCGCTCTTGCAACGAAACTTTTGGCATTCCTTGCATACTTTCGCCTCGTGCATCCTCCTATCGTACCCATACCGTGACATCGGCCACGAACGCGAGAGAAATGTAATGACGTTATCGCCGTACAGCAGCCAATCTTGAAGTCTGTCCGATCGAGGGGTGGTTGCAACCCTTCCGCTCGAATTCTATCGACGAATACAGTTTTGCATGCGAGACGACGCACAAACCACGTTTGCTGCTGTTATTGATACGTTCTATACCTGTACCCACGCATATACGCATATATATATAAAATATAGTCAGTCACAAAAGTTTCGCGCATTATTTTAATAAAGAAATTGACGTAATGAAAATTACGACACTGTGATAGAAGCATTAAAACTTTATTTCACTGACTGTTAATCATATTTTGGAAAAAATAATTTCACTCTTTCGAAATGATATGATATTTCATTGGAAAAATACTTATTATACTTATTACATTAAAGTTTCGTTACGTATAGAATTTTCATTGACTTTGATAAACACAACTTTTTAAATTGTATCAAAATTTTTATGACTGACTGTATCTACGTATATACGTATATCTATATGTATATATAGGTGCAGTTCAAGCTAGGATAAAATATTGAATAATAAACGTGCTTTGGAATAAAGTAAAAACGAAATATAATAGACAAAAATATAATAATTTTACCCTTTTCGTTGGATTTAAAAGAAACGTAAACTCGATTCAAAAAAAAAATTTCTATTTTTTATTCTTTATCGATTACAACCTTCTATTTTGAACTTTAATTAACGCTTCTGGCAAGATTAAATTTCTTCGCACAATGGAATATGAAAACCGTACATTAGAACGAATGAATGGAACGGTTTGCTGTTTTGCGCGGCTGAAAAAGGTATCCTGTATTATTGAGATACACGCGCAATCTTTCTTTCTTTTTAATCTATGCCGTCCGTTTGAATTAACCATTGTCCATTCCGTAATCGCGTCAATCATAGTGCAATTGTTTTTCAACATTTCTTTGTCCACGACTATCAATAATCCGTGATTAATCCGTAGTGATTTCACCTCGAAAGATATAGCTCGCGTGTTGCACCTGCGATTACGATTTCGCGAACGGTATAATAACGTTATCTCTGCACTGTCTACCTCGAAACCTCCTGCTGTGCCACGTGTACTTTCGCCATTCTATGCAGATGCATTGTTTGCAAGTAATTTGATATAAGGAGTTGAATTCTATTTGTAAATAGCCCGATGAAAGCATGAAATATCATTCGGTGGTAAAAAGAAAATTGTTATTTTATATATTCTTCCGTAATCGTCATTAGAATGCACATCCAAGACGAATTTTCTCATTATACTATTCTTTTTTTCTATCTATAAGCTGAAAGCTTCGTTAACATTTGTTTCAATTCAAAGTTAATTTCAAGTTTGTATTTGTATGAAAACAAGACAAGATTAAGTTATTTGAATTTTGAAATGTATATTTAATGAAATATCGATATTATTGGCAGACAGAAATTTTCTTTCTCTTTTGAGAAACTCGCTCTTGATTTCTTCCTTATCATAGTTGCACAATTCAGTCGTGAAATTGTTTTATCTGACCATCTGAAATGTTAATTCAACCGCGGT